CTATTACTTGCCAAGCTAGACCTCTGAGATGTAATGGTGAGAGAGGTAGATGCAGCCCCTTCCCCTCTGGGTCTAGTCTAGCAGGGACTATGTCTCTAAGTCAGGATTTCTCACCTCGCCACTATTGACAGTTTGGGCTGGATAATTATTTGTTGTGGGCATTGTCCTGTGCATTTCAGGGTGTTTAGCAGCATCCCTGGCCTCTAACCACTAGATGGCCAGTAGCATACACCAGCCCCCCCTCCAGTTGTGACAACCAAAAATGTCACCAGACATTGCTAGATACCACCCTGGAAGGCAAAATTGCCTGATTGAGAGCCAGTCCTCTAGGTAGGCAGTGTCCACCCACAGGGTTGTTGTGGGAATTAAATGAGTTAATACCTGTAACGAGTTTGAACTACATCTTCCACCCACTAAGCACTCCACTAGTGTACCAGTTGTCTGTTACCACAATAATGCAGTGTCACAAAGAACCATGAAACCCAGTGGCTTAAAACAATGGACACTAATTTAGCATATGCATTCTTCTGCTCTCAGCTGGGCTTGCTTCAAAGGTGAGCTGGCCGGCCAGCTGTGGGTGGGCTTTGCTGATCCTGGCTGGGCTCTGTGGCTGTGGTCTTTTGAGACTTCAGCTGGAACAACTGGCCTGACTCAGCTCAGTTAGCGTGGTCCCTCATCCTCCAAGCAGACTAGTCCAAGCATGTTTTAATGGCAGAGGCAGCATTCCAAGGGTGACAGTGGGAGCTCGCAAGGTGCCTCTTGAGGCTAGCTCAGAACTAGCACCCCTAGGCATGTTCTATTGGCCGATGTAAGTCACAAGACCAGCCCAGATCCAAGGAGTGGAGAATGGACTTCAGCCTTGATGGGAAGAATTGTAAAGTCACATTGCTAAGAGGGTAGATACAGCGAGGGGCAAAGAACAAGAGCCAACTTTGCAGCCATTATGAGAGCTCGGGGCAGCGAGGTGCATGTCCAAAATGTAACCGTCTCCCGCTTCCTCCCCACTTTCCATAGTTTCTTGGAGTCATAGAGCTCTCAGCATACTGTGAAGGCTACTTTCTCAAAAACATGATGGTCCTCATCGAAAATGAAGCATTCAAGCAGCTCCTGTATGACAAAAATGGTGAAGGGACGGGCCAGGATGTGCTCCAGGACTTACAGAGGACGTTGGCCATCAGGATTCAGTCCATCCACTTGTCCTCATCCAAAGGTTCAGTTGTATGAAAGTCCAGAGCAGGGAACGTTCCACGGGGACTTTCCAGTTCTCCTGTTGCATTGACTTCCCACAAATGCAAATCCCACCTGGCGTCTGGTTTGGGCTGGGCCAAGGAGCTGCCTCTACTGCCTCAGTGTCTCTTGAATAAGCAAATTCAGCCCTCATGCATTCCTGTTGAAAAACCAAGGACATTTCACCGATCTGAGGGTCAAAGCTGGGCCCAGAGCTTGAGGGTGAACATGTGGCAACCAAACCACTTTCTGGGGCCATTGAACACTTATTGCCAGAGACTACTGTTGGATGGATGGATTGAGAACTAAAGGTTGTTTGGGTTCCAGGTTGTCAGTTGGAGAACTTAACTGTACCTACCCTGAAGAGCGTTGTAGTACTCATCCAGGAACTTGGTACCTGCAGTTCAACAAGAGGCAACCATGTTAGCAAATTGGTGAGACTGTTAACCAATAATAAGGAAATAATGTGGCAAATTTTTAGGGGTGGGAACTTTTTAAAATGTTCATAAAAAAATAATAACAGGGCAGCCTTGTAGTTTAAAATATATTTCTAAAAGCTTAACGGTTCATTTTAAACTGAATTGTGTTTAGGGATCTGTGTTTTGAGGTTGTTATTCTTTTTTTAAACAAAAAAAAAAATACTAAGTTGCAGGTCCACACTGTGTAAACATGCATCTGAGAAGATACAAGGTGGAATAACCTTGCCTTAGTGATCATGGTTACATAAAAGAGGTGCACTGCCAATAATTATCTCTTAATTCAATAGTTGAAAACAACCTGCATGCTAATTGTGGTTTTGAGGTTAGAATAAGATACCCCCACATAACAAAACATGCATCTGCATGGGCCCAAACCTGTGAAATGTTATGTTTGTGCTTCATTTTTGCCAAGGTAAAAATATTCCATCACTTCTTGCTGAAAGTCCATTTGGTGAAACGGACATATCCACTTCTTTTCCTAATTAAGAATGATTCTGGGATGCTTTTGCAGAAATGTGTTCATAGATGATGCTGAATGGGGAGGGGGAGTGGGGGCAGCATGTCAGAGAATTTGCTATTAATCCCAGAGTTCTTTTTCTGTATTCTCGGAAGATGTTAATAGTTTATTAGCCAGAGAGGGTGACTATGTTAGATTATTTTTAAAGATGAAACATGTATGATAAGATGGATTCTTTCTGTATTCTGACAGTGTACAGTAAAGGGTTATCTATAATGAAAGTTTATATCGACAGGGTTTCGTTTGCTCTGCCATATATTATAAGCAAAAGAGGTTGGCGTAGTGCCACAATATTCAAAATAACTTTTGAGTTGCTGCCTTTTTTCTTGTCCTTTAATTTGGAACCTAGATACATGCAGTAAAAACTAGGAGAATGACTTTTACCCTTTGGGATGGCCAAGTTTCACTGATAAACCTATTTCCTAGCATGCCTTTGGGAAGTTGTACCCAGATCCTAGATTCTAGAAGAGGTGCAGGTCATCTGTCCTACCAGCTCCCAGAGAACCGATATCGAGTCCTGTTTCATGTGTTTGCCTCATGGAATACCCGGGCCATGCCTGTCTACAGTATTGGTCTTCACGATGCTGACTCACAAGGCCTCTCTTCCACTTGGTCATTTGCAAACCACCCCAGACCCTACAATCAAATGAGGAAGAGAAAAAAAACTGCCTGCGGAGGAGTCCATTCAAGTGACAGCTACACAGCACGTTGTTGCCGCCGTCCCCTGCCTTCTCTGTGTCCTCAGAGATGCCACGTGAAGGTTTCCTTAACCGAGACTTCCTTCCTGTGAATGTCAACTGCTAGTTCAGGGCCTCCAGGCATTGATCTGTACAGTGGCAACTCCCACCGGGGCTTCTGTTATAGTTTGGTGTGCTTTCTCTGTCATTAAAAGAAATGATTTTCCCAAGCCATGCATCGTTTGTCTAGTACGAGTGAGATTTTTACCCAACAGTTCTGGCCCGAGAACTTGAATCAGTTAAGAGACTGGAAAATGTAGCCCTGTGGAAAAAGCCGGGGGAAATGAAGGCACTCGATAAAAGACAGGTGCTTGTCTTGTTGGCGGAGTCCTGGAGTGGTGCAAACGGTTAACACGCTCACTTGCTAACCGAAGGGTTGGAGGTTTGAGCCCACTCAGAGGCACCTCAGAAGATAGGCCTGGCAATCTAGTTCCAAAAGATCAGCCATTGAAAACTCTATGAAGTGCTGTTCTCCTCTGACACACATGAGGTCACTATGAGTCAAAATCGACTCAATGGAAACTGGGTTTTTTTGTCTTAATTGGTGTTGGGCGATGAGCTAAGCTCTAGTTTCCCAGGTCTGTATACACTTCTGGGGGGTGCCCTAGGGTTTCCTTCCCATCAGCCAAAGGAATTCCAGGTGTCACCACCTGGGCCACTGTCTTAGTAGGTGTTGCCTACTGCAGGTAACTCACCTGTAGAGGGTGTAGTCCTGGCTGTCACTCATGGGTCTTGATGAGCTTGTTGGGGTGGAGGAATGGAGAAGGACAAGCTCTCTCAACATGGTGTGCCACCCCACCAAGAGGCAGCATGAGTTGGTGCTGGGATGGTTACAGCATTCTGAGTTGAGGGCTGGGGGGTCAAGGAGGCACAGGAGCTCTCCTCTCTGGTGTCACCATCACTGAGGTCAAACCAAGTCCCCAGCTGGTCCCCTCTAGCTCCTGACCCAGCCTGGGCTGAACTGGGGCCTTTGTGGAGAGTAATCCTCTTGACTCATCCACAACGGCCCACAGGAAGCTGGGGGAGAGGCCCAGGCAGCCCACAAGTCCTGAGCCAGTGGGACCCAGGACACAGCTAACATCCCAATAGTCTCCTGAGACTGACTGTTCACCCCTGCTTAACAATTGGGGTCGGTTTTTTTCTTTAAGAAGCAACCAATGCAGCCAAGTGCCAGAACTCTGAGTCAGGTCAGGAGAACAGGAGGTTGATTTATTTTTGACTGTGCATCACCCTCTGTGTAGCCTCAGGGTGAGTAAGCCATTTGGAAAGATATCTTTCCTTTTGGAAAGATAAAGTGTTTGCTACGTGTTTGCCTTTATCCTGTCTGACAGTTGGCTTTGTCATGTGGGCCTTAGCAAAGCTGGTACAAGGGCCCCTTAGTGTGGAGGGAAGTCTGCCTGCCTGCCTGCCTGCCATAAAACTTCCCCTCCACTCCTTCCAATTGGAATGGAAAACAGGGAGGCGTGTGTTTGAGAAGCCACCAAATAAACATAAAGGCCCAACTTGGCTTATGTGGTCTCCCAGCCCCCCGCCCATATAATTGGTCTTATATATGTTGTTGTTAAGGAGTCCCTGGGTGGTGTAAATGGTTAAGCACTTGACTAACCAAACGACTGGCAGTTTGAGTCCACCCAGAGGCACCTTGGAAGAAAGGCCTGGTGATCTACTTCCAAAAGATCACACCATTGAAAACCCTACGGAGCACAGTTCTACTCTGAAACGCATGGAGTCACCATGAGCCAATATGGAGTCAATGGCTACTGCTACTGGTATGTTGTTAGCTGCTGTTGAATCAGCACCCAACTCACGGCAACCCCATGCACAACAGAACGAAAAGCTGCCTGATCCTGCACCATTCCCATAATTGGGTGCAGATCGGACTGTTGTGATCCATAGAGTTTTTATTGGCTGATTTTTGGGAGAAGATTGCCAGGCCGTTCTTCCCGGTCCCTCTTAGTCAGGAAGCTCCACTGAAACCTGTTCAGCATCATAGCAACACGCAAGCTTCCACTGACAGACAGGTGGTAGCTGCTCATGAGATGCATTGGCTGGGAATCAAACACAGGTCTCCTGCATGGAAAGCAAGAATTCTACCACTGAACCACCAATGCAGTCATATATATTACACCTGAATGTCTTCTGCTCTCAAAAGAATGAGAATCTTCTACCCAAAATGGAGATCAAGGGTGTGGGTGGCCATCATGGGTGGGGCCCGGGCAGAAACTGGAAGCAGTGCAATCCTGCGTAAGGGCGGGGTTGGATGGAGGGCCTTTGGTCCTCTTCACCCTGAGAGTCTCTAATTCTGTGATCCTGTTTTCGTAGCTCACCTTGTCTTTTCCGGTGAAGCCCCAGGCAAAAAGCATTGCTCCAACTGGGTGTTATTTTATCCAGTGTTGTCTTATCAAGATGCTTCTATCACATAGCCCTTTTTTAAAAAAATGTTTTATATTTTTGAAAGTATACACAGCCAAAGATACAGCATTTCAACAGTTTCTACATGTACAGTTCAGCGACATTAATTACATTCTTCAAGTTGTGCAACCATTCGCACTATCCTTTTCCAAATTATTCCACTATTATCTTAAACTCACTGCCCCATAGGCTTCCTATACAACCATTGTCAATTTGATCTCTCATAGGTAATTCTTTACAAAGGTCACAGTGCTCAAAGTGGATGTACTTTACTGATTAAGATAAGCTATTTTTTGGTTCAAAGAAGACTTCAGGGTGAGTTTCCATTTATGGTGATGGGAAATTTGACAGCAATTAAGAGTAATGGTTACACAGCTGGTTAATGTAATTGATATCACTAAGCTGTGCAGCTGAAAAATGTTGAATTGGCAAACGTTGTGTTATATATATTTTTACCAAAAAAAAAAAAAAAGCTGCTGTTGAGCCTACTTATGTACAACCAAACACCCCACGGGATTTGTTTTCTTGGTTTGTAGGCTTATGGTCATGGTTTCAAGGGGCTTCTTTTCTACATCCTAGTTTGTTGTATAGTGACTGGGGTCTCAAAAGCTAGCAAGTGGCCATCCAAGGTACAACCATTAGTCTCTATTCTCCTGCAGCAACAGAGGAAGAAGGAGAGTCAGGAATAGGAGGAGGAAATGGAATGTGTGACTAACTGCCTCCATGAACAGCTACCTCCTTTGCCATGAGACCAGAAGAACTGGATGGTGCCCAGCTACCAGTACTGAATGTTTTGATCAAAGATTCTATGGAAGAATCGTGATCAAAAGGAGGGGGTGGGATATGGAATAGAATTTCTGGAGCCATTGAGGCTGGATGAACTTCTTAAACTATTGCCCTGAGATAATCACATAGCCTTTTAAAACCTCAGGCTGTGTGCTCGGACAGTGTGGGTAAAAGGGTAAGGGTCCAAGACAATTCTTTGAGAAAATCGGTTTTTCCAGTCCTGGGTTCCCTGCCTTCTTCAAAGTTCAGCCAGTGTTTGTCACCCTTCACCTCTCGCCTCGCATTTGATATCCTGTCACAGATGGGTGGTCGCAGATGTATTCAGGTCCTATCACTGCTAACTCCCTTCCTGACCGGCCCCTCCACAGCCCTCCTCCAGAAACCTGGCTTTCTCTGCTTGAGATTCAGTGAGACATTTCCTGGGAACCTTCTGTGCTGCAGACACCAATCAATGCTAAAAACCTTTGCGGTCTGGTTCTGATTCAACCCTTGACCAGTTTGTAGACCCTGGACAAGGTACTTACTCTATCTAGTTTTCCTATTCCTCTTTCGAAAAATTGGGTTTAAATATAACTAGTTAATAGGGCTGTTAGGAGGATTACAGGAGATATGATGTGCGAGTCCCACAATGTCAGTAGCAAAGACATTTCCAAACTTCTAAAAAGTTGCAGAGAGGAGAAAGTGACAACTCACACAAGGAAAGGAAGGTTAATCATTTTGTCCCCCTTCCCCCCTTCCCTAGAACTTTCTACTACAGCGAGTTCCCAAGGTCGTTTGTGATTCTGTAAGGTTTTTCTACTTATTCTAGGAGACATGAAGAAATTCTCCAAAATCTGAGCTCTTTTGCAAGCCTAGTTCCTGGCACAGTCCCTGGGTGGTGTAAACAGTTAACACACTGTACTGCTAACCAAAAGGTTGGAGGTTCCAGTCCACCCAGAGGCACCTGTGAAGAAAGGCTTGGTGATCTACTTCCAAAAAATCAGCCACTGAAAACCCTCTGGAGTACAGTTCTAATCTGACACACATGGGGTCACACGAGTCAGAATCAATTCAATGGTAACTGTTGGTAACTGGAAGATCCTAGTACAGTGTCTTGCACAAAATTAGTGATCAAGAAATGTCTGTTAAGTAAATGGAAGCCAAGTTCAACTGGATTTCCTTCATGTCAGTAGAGTTTATTTCTAAGTATTAAAGTTCTGGAGATTAGCTCTTCCAAACTCCTTGTTTACTTAGGAATGTGAGACTCAGAGTAGTGATGTGACCTGCTCGAGAGCACGTAACTGGTCCAGACCCTCGGGAGCCAACTGTCAGCCCCCTGCTCCTCCCACCAGGCACCATGGCTCTTTGGAGAAGGGGAGGATAGTCATAAACCCGAGTGAAACGAACTGCTTAATGTCAACTCTCAAAAATTCTGGGATTGCTACCCTCAAGTCAGTGGCTACATCCATCCTGCCTTTGTTGCCACTTCAGGGTATGGACACTCACCACCATCCCTCCACCAGAAATCTCTCTGGTGAAACTCCACTCCTTTCTTCTCAGCCTGGCCAGTGCCTCGAGCAAAGCTGCCCGTGCCTTCGGACAGGGCCACTGCAGAAGCTGGCGTGATGTCTATTTTTTCACCCTCTTTAAAAATAACCCAGCAGCTTTTAAACTTCCTGCGTGGTAGGAAAAAAAAAAAAATAGAACTCCTACTGAGCAATCATATTGCACTTTATTTCCCGTTACTGATGAGGCAGTCAGATAACGAGTGCCCCACAGAAGGACACATCTCCAAGTTTAGCTCTAAATATGAAAAGACAATCTGTCTGTGTGAATAGGCAATTAAAAGAGATGCCCTGATGTCGTTGATACGTTCTCTGGATGTTGCTTTTCAGAGTTAACCTTCAGGTGGGTTCTGAATTTTAACGCCATTTCAAACCTCTGGGACGAAGAACTGCAAAGAGAGGAGGCGGGGTGATATAATAGATGGGGCTCTGGCCTGGGAAAAAGATCTCACCTCTGGTCCTGTTTCTGCCACCTGCTACTCGGTGCCCTTGGCCAAGTCTCTTCTCCATTCTGGACCTGTTTCCTCATCTCTAAAATGAAGGTCCTTCAAAAATTGTATGAGACCATTACTATAAAAACTCTTGAAAAGGTATACACATAAAAAGAAACAATCTTTGATGGTTACGGGGGAGGGATGGTTATGAGGAGGGTGAGAATGGAAAAATACTAAATAGACAATAGATAAGTGGTAACTTTGGTGAAGGGTGAGACAGTACACAATGCTGGGGAAGCCAGTACAACTTGTCCAAGGCAAGGTCATGGAAGCTCCATAGACACATCCAAACTCCCTGAGGGACTGAATTACTGGGCTGAGGCCTCTGGGGACCATGGTCTCAGGGAACATCTAGCTCAATTGGCAGAACATAGTTTATAAAGAAAATGTTCTACATTCTACTTTGGTGAGTAGCATCTGGGGTCTTAAAAGCTTGTGAATGGCCATCTAAGATAGTCCACTGGTCTCACCCCGTCTGGAGCAAGGGAGAATGAAGAAAACCAAAGACACAAGGGAAAGATTAGTCCAAAGGACTAATGGAGCACAACTACCAGCCTCCACCAGACTGAGTCTGCTACAACTAGATGGTGTCTGGTTACCACCACCAACTGCCCTGACAGGGATCACAATAAAGGGTCCTGGACAGAGCTGGAGAAAAGTGTAGAACAAAATTCTAACACACACACACACACAGAAAAAAAATCAGACTTACTGGTCTGACAGAGACTAGAGAAACCCCAAGAGTATGGCTCCTGGACACCCTTATAGCTCAGTAATATAGTCACTCCTGAGGTTCACCCTTCAGCCAAAGATTAGACAGGCCCATAAAACAAAATGAGAGTAAATGGGCACCCCAGCCAAGGGGCAAGGACAAGAAGGCAGGAGGGGACAAGAAAGCTGGTAATGGGGAACCCAAGGTCGAGAAGAGGAGAGTGTTGACATGTCGTGGGGTTGGCAACCAATGTCACAAAACAATATGTGTCCTAATTGTTTAATGAGAAACTTGTTTGCTCTGTAAACTTTCATCTAAAGTATGATTTTAAAAAAAAATTAGAAGTAGTGTGGGCAAGGGAGAAGGAATTCAGGTAAACAAGCCAATCAGTAAAGGGACAATATGTTTGGGAAAACAAGTTGTGACAAGTCTCAACATGTTGGGGACAAGTCTCAACATGCTGTGCAGCATAGAGGCCTGTGGGGGCTGCAGTTGTCAATACTGCAGCGATGTTTAAATGGCATATATCCCTACATTTCTCCACTAGAGAGATCTCAACTAGAGTTCTGCATTCAGTTCAGGGCCTATATGAGTCAGGGTTCTTAGCAGCAAGCATCCCTGGCTAATTTAAGAGGAACAATTTATTCAGCGATATTAGGGGATTCATACAACTGTTGACAGGGCAGAGCTTTTAGGAATAACTCACAAGCCATGACACAGAGCTGACCTGATGGGGTCATTGCTGCCACCAAACACCATGGAGGCAGAAATTAATAATGGCAGTTCTCTTGTTACGAGGAAGGAGCTCTGGTGGCCCAGTGATTAAGAGCTTGGCTGCTAACTGAAAGGTTGATAATTCAAACCCACCAGTCATTCCTCGGGAGAAAGATGTGGCAATCTGCTTTCGTAAAGACTGCAGCCTTGGAAACCCTATGGAGCAGTTCTAGTCTGTCCTACAGGGTCGCTATGAGTCAGAATTGACTTGACAGCAATGGGTATTGTTACCATGAACTTGACTTCACTGACTGCTACAGCCACAACCACCAGTGTTATTTCTGCATCAGGAACTCAGCCTACCCGGAAAAGCTCTATGCCTCTGCCTCCACTTGCAGTAGCAAAATGGAAGCTCCCATGTCCTTAAGTGGCTGGTTCAGAATTGAAGC